TATCATCTGACCTTCTACTGACACTACAGTCTGCTGCAGTGGATGTGACTGTGTTCCCGTTATTAAGGCATTTGGGGTCTGGTGGGCCACCCACCTGCACTACAGGGGGACCCCAGGCTTTACTAGAAGGAGAGGGTGGATGAGAGAAATGGTGACATGTATTTTGTTTTGTGTCTGTGCTCCATAGAGTGAATGCTGAATTTGGCTATGTGGTCTCTTTTGTCATTTTAATTATGTGTGGGGAGAAGAAAAAGAAGCAGAGACAGATACTTCTGCAGCATTTTGAACTTTAGGTTGCCAGAACATGTCATATAAATGCCGAGCTAACTCTCTTAGCTTTTCTTGTGGTAAACTGTGTGTGAGGGTTTGAGTGTGTTTGGAATTAATTTTTGAAATTAATTTTTTTAAAAACAAGTATTTTCATATTTTAATGAGGCTGTGAGCAACCTGATCTATTGGAAGGTGTCCCTGCCCATGGCTGGGTGGTTAGAACTGGATGATCTTTAAGGTCCCTTCCAACTGAAACCATTGCACGATTCTAAGATTTTCATTCCCTGGGTTCAGATATATTTATTTTAGATCTGCTGCTGCAGAGTCCAGCTTTCCTCCAACTGTGTTTCCCCACTGAGATTTGCCTATGTACCACTTGTGCTTCCCAACAGTAGAGCACAACAGGTTTGAAATGCGTACAGGTGTGGTCCTCTTCAGCCTCGCTGGCTGGATGCTGGTATGAGAAACTAGAGGGATGAGTGAGAAGCTGATGACCCTCCTGCAGTATCTGTTCCTTACTCTCATGTTGCCTCTGATCTGTCAACTGCTGCATTTCCTCAGGAACCTCAACCACTTTGGTAAATTTTGGATGTTAAGAAGAGAAACTGCTCAGGACTGTGTTTTACTGGACCCTGTTACTATCAGTGTCACTGGAAACACATCCTACCCAACAGCAGATTTTCCTACAACCTAGAGGGCAGAGTTTCTCTGTCACTGACTTATAGGATCCTGTGGTCAGTGATCTGCCATGCTGGATGTGCTGTGAATCTGATGTTGCCTAGTTGTCTAGACTACTGCCTTGCTATTTTGATAGGTAAAAGGAAGTCTGTTATCAATGCATGCCTTGATGTCCTGAATTTTGAGCATGTCTCTTGTTTACTTTAACCTTTTAGTAGGGGAACACTGTGACTCCAAGACCCAGCTATGTCTTTGAAAAAGAAGAGAGCCTTCATATGTGAGCAGGCTCTACATGGGCATGCTTTGGGGTGCCTTGCTAGATTTGCAGCTTCTCAAAAGTGTTCCTGTTCAACCTAATACCCACAGATAGGGCTGTGTGTTAGGAAGAAACATGTAAATTGGGAAATCCTTCTGTGGGTGCTGTAGGGAAGCCCTCATGTCAAAGGTTGAAAGAATTGTGGATGCTTGAGGTGTTGAGAATTAGAGAAAGAAAGAAGAGGCTGTAGATCGCAGACCACCCTGGGAAGCCCTGGTGCAAGGCACCTTCGAGACTTGATTTTGATAGTTAGAGAGAGCTGCAGTGCTCAAGTCCAGCACAACAGGGCTCAGGGCCAAGTGGTGAGTCATCTGTGTGATAGTTACCATCTTGCACCATGGGTCATGTGTCGGGATCAGGCCTTCTGGGGATGTTTCTCCCTAATTTGTTTCCTAGTGTGATGACTGCTTTTCAGCTTCACATGCCTACGCATCAGGTCAAGTTGGTTGGTGGGTTCGAGATGCAGCAGTCAGCCACGTCTGGCGTGAAGCACCCTGGATATGGCTGAGATGCTGCATCTTGTGCTACTAAGGTCAGCCTCAAAAACCCGAGTTTTTTACTCCTATTTTGTCATTAACTATGTGTTTAACACTAAATCTATTAATTATTAATCTGAGTGTATTAAATCAGGCTGATATGTAAAGGACAGGAACAAGGAGTGGATGTCACTTATTCTGCTATTAAACATCTGCCCTAAAAAAAACAAAACTAAAACAAACAGCTACCAAAGTACGGGGCACAACTTTTTGCTCATTTTTATAATTGCCTTTTAACATCCCCCTACTCACATAATTTTTTTTCCAGGAGTTTTGTGCTACTTTTGTGTGGGTTTGAAGCAGTGCCAGGGAGACAACTCTCTATACGGCTCTGCCACTGTGTGCTTGTGCCTTAAATGTTTGAGTGCAATTCAATGTGGTGGTAAGAAAATGAGCAGTTAATGTTGTTCAAGTGTTAATTGTGCCACAGTGTGTTTTCAGAATCTCAACCCAGCAGTGCTAAGAACATTTAATTAATGTTTTTGTGCAATTTCTCTGAATGGGTGGCAGGAGTTTGCCTGATAGCTTGGGGACAGGCTGTGGTGGCCTGTGATTGCACATTGTCCTCGGTTTTACTTCCATCTGAAGAAACATGAGAAAATCATTGTACATGGAAAGTCTTGTTTGTAACTTCCCTGAGACCTGGCAAGTGGTTCTTTGATTTCCTTCAGGCCTCTGGCACTGTTGAAGCCAATGGCACTGGTCTGCAACCAGCATATGAATTAGAGGAGAAATACCCTTGTTCTCCTCCAATGCAGAGATAGCAGGAATGGAAGATCTCAATGTAAGAGTAAAAGCTGTGTATGCCTGCTTTTTCTGTAGATCCCTGTAGGAAGGTAAGGTGGCCCCTGTGCTATAAGCAGTACTTAAATTCTGCGGACTGGCACAGGCATTACAGAGATGTAAAAAATGTCTAATTAGGTGAAATTAAAAAAATTCTACTAGTATTTTATGAAGACAGTTTTGCAGTGGTATGTTGTGTAAGTGAAGGGATAATCAGATTCTAATTAGACCCTTCTTTTTAGTATTGCTTGATGAAGTAAATCCTTCGAGCCTCTCATGCAACCTCTTTAAAGAATACGGCCCCCCAATATAAGCTGAGTAATTACTGACATTCAAAAGCATTAAGTCTTAAATCAGCAGATGGAAAATATGTATTTGGGATACATACAATGGAAACAGCATGCAGAAGGTCAGCAAAACACATCTGTGTTTGGAATTATAAGAGAACTGGATATGGCACTGACCACTAATAACACATATGAGCTATTCAGGATAAGGGTAATCAACACTTCAGGTCACCCAGAGCGGCTGGTTGCAAATATATTATCTCCTCTAGAAGCCTCTCTCTCCCTGCTTTACAATATCACACTGTTGTTCAAGTGTATTACAAAAGCTTTTGCTCATTTGGAAATGTAAATTACTACTTTCTATGCTGCCAGAGGTACTGTATGCCATCATCCAGAAGAATCAGCATGAAGCCATGCATTTGAGGATATGTCATGTTGCCTTCTTGCTTTTGCCAGAGACATTTAATGTTTTTCTGAATACCTTACTTAACTGTGACCAGCCACAGCCTGGGATGGGGAGTACAATTGCTGTGCAGGTTTCTCCAATTGCTAAGTCTGGAGGCTTTTAATCTTGCTGGCTCTTTCCTTTGCAAAATCAGGTACTTGCACTCAAATGCATTGTTTCTGTTCCCCAGAGCCCTGACAGCCACATGCTGAAAACATTTGCCTTTAACCCTAACCTGTTATGAAGTAGAAAGGAGCCTGAATCAAAGCCCCAGTAATAAAGGCTGTTGAAGTTTGGAAATACTCGTTATGGGAGCTGCATTTGGCTCCAGCTGTATGCCTCCCTGCATGGGGAAGTGTAGATCCACATGTCTGGCCAGTGCATTTGTAGCCCTACCCTGGAATCGTTCTTCCATTGAGCCTGCAGTTTCCCATCCAAATAAATGAGACTTTTGAATGCAAAGAGCTTTGCAATCCCAGCACCAGAGGACAGTCCGGAGGGGGCTGGAGTGAACTCTGAGGAAGCAAAACCAAAGCACATGTGCATACCTTTGCATTCTTGTCTTGCTTCTCTGAACAGAGATCTCTCAGCTGTCAAAAACATACTGGTTTGCTGGCAAGTTCTCACTTCTCCCTCTGATATTTTGGGGCTTGTCTTCTGCTACCCTTTCAGGGAAGAGGTCCTGAGGAACCAGCAAGCGCCTGGTCTGGGGTTGCAGGAACTGTTTGGGTCCCCACCACGCTGTAAAAGACAGGGCCTGTGCCACAGCTGCAGGAAGCTTTTGGATAAGGCCCCCCAAAAGCTTCTCACAGGAGGTTGCTTGGTACAGAAACTAGTACTGAGTGTTTAGCAATTAATAAGTGCACTGCATTTATTTATTCTGCCTGCAAGGGGCTTTGTCCAAAGGGACACAGCCTCTTCAGCAGCATTATGAAGCATGGTGAATAATTCACAAAAAAAATATCCAACAAGTTCTGGGGTTGGGCTTTTTAAATAGTGCTTAGATATTTTTAACTTATCAACACTTTAAATCTTTGGGATCTTATAAATCATATAAATATTACAATATTTCAAGTGGTTGGTTTTTTTTTTCCAAGTCTTACTAAAGTTTGTTTCTCCAAGGATATAGGTCAGGACTACGAATATCCACCGACGTGCTTCATTTGACTTTCCTAAGTTCTCTTTTTATGTCACAAGCAAATATTCTCCTGCTTTATGTAGGGATCTCTGTTTTACAGGACTTTGGTGAAATATATGAAGATATATATTCTATAAAGTTTCTCCCTGGAATTTTTATTCTATACATAAATCTGTTTCAGTCATATTTCAGTTTATGGGTATTTCATTTTGCTCTATGAAACTAGTCCAAGGTTGCTGCTGACAAGATATCTCAAATAGTTCAGGGGGCTCATTATGTCCCAAGTGTTGAGCTTTTTTTTTTCTTCTTAAAGATTTTTCTAAAGTTAAAATTAATCTGTATTTTGTTCACCTTGTCTGCATATTATCCAGTGTATATCAGAGGAAAGGTTTATATATATATATATATAAAAAATGTTCACATACTAAAGTAAATTAATGAAGCTTCCTTTTCATATGAAAGAGGTAAAGAAAAATACCTGGCCAATACAGTACCATTAATCTATTCTCTTTTCTCCTTTCTCTCTTTACCTCTCTCTCTACAATAGAAGTGGAACAAAAAGGTAATTAAATACCTTTCAAATTATATATATATATTACTTATGTATAGGCTAAGTTATTTAACAGTTTAACGTTTTAGTTGAAATACTTTGTCATTAATTCTCACTACCTTTTTGTTAAAGTTTATTTAGTATCTCTGCTGCTCAACTTCACCGGATAACTCATTTTTGCTGAAAGGTTTTTTACCACTGCCACTTTTTTTCATTAAATTTCTATTCAAAGGCTTAGATAACTCACTCTTCTCCTACCCCAAAGAATTTGGAAAGTGTGCATAAGTATATCTAATTATGGCATAAAAGCCTCTTGGAAATGGCACCTCTTTAACAGCAACTCTCTGTGGTTACTTAGACTCCAATGGCTCTATACAATTTTATACCAGTTACTAAATCTGATTTTCCTCCCATCTTTTTCTCCAGACAACATCCCAATTTCTGCATTTACAAAAATAATTAATTACACTCCGAGCAGGAAGTGTGAATGTGGGATCCCATCTTGCCATCCCCATGCTAGCAGAAGTACGTGGTGGGATACCTCTTCATGCTTCCCTGCTGCCCATCCTGTCGTCATGGTTATGGTACCATTCACACTCACGGAGATCAGCATTACAAATAACCAACATATATTCTCCCCCCCAAAGCTGCACACACACCTCCGAGTCAGGAGGCTGCTAACGGGGATGACAAGGGCCAAATGAGCTGGTTTTGCTCTGCAGCATCCCTCCTTTTGCCTCCCCATCCAGCCGGCTGGCCTCTTGGTGTTGGCGTTCCTGTGGTGCCGAGGTCAGCCGGGCACCGGCTGAGCCTCCTCCCAGGTGTTGGGCATGCCCTGGCCCCTCTCAGCCCCCCCGAAGTCTGAGCAGCAAAGCATCCCAGTTAGTCAAACTGCTCCTCTGTGCTCCTCTCATGTAACAATAGAAGGTATATGTTTTTAAGTTTGAATTACTACTATATTTAACAGGACATTTTTTAACTGATTAAAATCTAGACCTTGGGTTCCTCTCCAGCGAACTTTATTCTTTTCCTTCCTTCTTTCCTTTCTTCCTTCCTTCCTTGTCTTTTCCTTTCAGCATCCATATGTCATTCGTTTTTAATTGTGTGGACTGCATGTTTCATGTGTCCTGTAGCAGCTTTGAAAGTCTCATTTCTAGTTATACTACAGATGGTTGTTCCCCCCTCCCAGCTCCCTTTGCTTTAAATGCTCCTCTGAGTAGCCTAGGGATTCGCCTCTGCTTTGCTATTGGTACCCTTTAAATATTTAATCTCACTTGGGCTGTAAGGATGGGAATTTCTTTCTCTTATTTCCATTTCTAGGCCACTCTTCTGTGGGCTGTTCAAATAAATATGTGGATCAATTCCCTCGGAGTTTAGCCCTTCACCCAGTAGGTACAGATTCACTGCAGAATATAATTTGGAAATGCAAACCCAGAAATCCTTTGGGGGCACATATTCATTTCAGAGTTTACAAAGGCGAGTGGTCCAAGTAAGTACACCTGTAAAAATAGATTTGAAAAGCAATGAGAAAACAAGCCACAGTTAATAGAAAAAGCAGGGGCGGAAATCAGTTTGATGGAGCAAATCTTGTTCTAGAGACATGGAGGGCAGGAAGGCTAGTCTCCACGTACAAGGCATTGCTCTTGGGTTTCCACTGATCTCAAGTGTCCTCTACTCCAGGACTAGAAGCTTTTGAGATGCTTGGGCCAACCACCCCTGAACTGTCGTTAACTTTGTTTTTCTTTTAAATTCTTTTCCCCTATAACAGTTTTTCTTTGCCCCGGACTGCTGAAAGGAGTGTACCAGAGTGAACACTTATTTGAATCCGACCACCAGTCTGGTGCCTGGTGCAAGGACCCTCTGCAGGCATCTGACAAGATCTACTACATGCCCTGGACGCCTTACCGGACAGACACGCTGACGGAGTACTCCTCCAAGGACGACTTCATCGCCGGGAGGCCAACCACGACCTACAAACTCCCGCACCGGGTGGACGGCACGGGGTTCGTGGTGTACGACGGGGCTTTGTTCTTCAACAAGGAGCGAACCAGGAACATTGTCAAGTTTGACTTGCGGACAAGGATAAAGAGCGGGGAGGCCATCATAGCTAATGCAAACTACCATGACACCTCTCCCTACCGCTGGGGAGGCAAGTCTGACATAGACCTGGCTGTGGATGAGAACGGGCTGTGGGTAATCTATGCAACAGAACAAAATAATGGCAAAATAGTCATTAGCCAGTTAAACCCTTACACGTTAAGGATCGAAGGAACGTGGGATACTGCCTATGACAAGAGGTCAGCTTCTAATGCCTTCATGATCTGTGGGATTTTATATGTGGTGAAGTCTGTGTATGAAGATGATGACAATGAAGCCACAGGGAATAAAATAGACTACATATATAACACTGACCAAAGCAAGGATAGCATGGTGGATGTGCCCTTTCCAAACTCCTACCAGTACATTGCTGCTGTGGATTATAATCCCCGGGACAACCTCCTTTATGTATGGAACAACTACCATGTTGTAAAATACTCCTTGGATTTTGGCCCGCTTGACAGCAGAGCAGGTAAGGGTTTTAACACCAAAACAAATTCTAAATCGGGCTTTCTGGTTTTTTTTGCAAATAGGGTGTAAAACTGAAGTACATTCCTGTTTTACTGATCTGCCTGAGTTTCTGTGAATTAACCCGCACCACAGAACCTATGATGGTTATTAAGACGTGCGGAATATTTTTGTTGATCTTAGTTGAAATCAAGTGGACAAAGGCATATGCTACACATAACTTGCCTGAAACAGTTTCCAAATGCCCATGCTTTTATTCGCATGACAGGGGTAGCAATCTTTTCTCCTGACTTGAATTTTCTTTCCTACATCATCAAATTGTTTTCCGTTCTGCAGGAACTTCAGCCAAAAAAAAAAGGGTAAAAGATGCTGTCACTGCAAACAGCTGGAGGAAAACTGCCTGCCAGTTTAAATTACTTTGTTTCATTAAGCTGGGAGAGTTCTGTCTGTTTAGAGAAGCTGAGCCTAATTGCATTTGTGAGCATGCACTCACAAGTGTATGTCTAGAGTCAGGAGGGGAATCAGCACTAAAATCCTACAAGTTCTTAGTTTATTTTCTGTAAAGTTGCTCTGCATTTTTTTAAAGCATTTCATTATTTACTATGACTTACTGTACTTTCTCTCAGAGAAACATCTGGCCCCCAGAGGTTTCCCAGCTTTTCCACCTTTTTTCCGCTCTTATACATTGTGCTGGTAATTACTTACTTATATTCCCTTAACTTTATTAACTTCTTAAGCATTTTGCAAGTATAAAGTTGCCACTTCATTAGTAACATGACTTAGCCTTAGATTGTGATCTAACAAACAGCGTTTGCTCAGTCATTTTCAAATGGTTGCTTCTGTATGTGATTTAGTCATTGTTCTCAGGTAGTTCCTGTGGTGGACTGTGTATTTTGAAAGGCTGAAAAAGTAAGAAGAAAGACATAATTAATATAATTTGGACAGTAAAGTATTTGATTCATAACATGGCTATTTCTAAAACATTTCTTTTTGTAAGTAAGAAACTTCAAAGTGGGTAAGTGGATTCAGGGCTTCAGATTGCAAAAGAGAAGTCAAAAGGTTTCTGTTGCTGAGCATTTCTTTTTTTTTTTTTACTGTGCGCAGCCATGTAATAAAAATGGATCAAGAAATGCTGACAGAAATTGTGGATATGAAAATCTGGGAAGGGTTGGAATAAAAGTCTTAAAATGGCAATGAAATTCTCATTTTTATACAAAAATGAAAGGAAGGGGAGAAGAAAATCTTGAAGAGGCAGATGAACAAAAACTGAATGACTGTTAAGCCAGGAGTAGAGATATTTTTGATGATGTTAACCTCTGCAAAATCTCAGATGAGCAAAAAATGAAGTAATACTTCTCATTCTCCCAACCTAATGATCAGCATGTACTTTCTGAGTGTTAGAGTGAAGCAGAGTAATTTGTGAGCTATTGGTTATCCCCAAGGAGTGAAAATCAATTGTATCCCTTCTATTTCACAGGCTTTCCTTTTCAGTGAATTATTTCCAGGTATTATAAAGGACTCTCTGCTGCCGCTTTTTCATTTGGTGACTGTTGTCAGTAATAGTATCTTTAATAAAAAAAAAAAAGCTGTAATCAGTGAAAAACCTAAATTTTGTACTTTCCTAAAATAAAAAGGAAATTGTTCTCCTTTTTTTCACAGTCTAAGCTGGTGAGATGAGACAGCAAGTGAAACCTTGCAGGGAACTGAAAGTCTGTGAGGTGCAAGGGTTTGATTTGTCCTTGTTTCACTCTTGTTTGGATGAGAAATTAAAATCTTGCAGTGCTTTAGATAGCTGAAGCAGTTTTTAGGTTTGGCCGGTGGGCATGAGAGGGTTAATCTGGTGTCAGGGAATCTTTTTGATAGTTTTGTAATGTGGACACGAAGCTGAATTTTACATGCGTTTCTCTTCTCTGAAAATTGTCGGGATTTCCTTTTTGGCAGATATCCATAAGGATCCCATTACCTCACTATTTTATGGGTTTAGAAGACTTTTGAGTGAACTGCTCTGAAAGCAACTGAATTTTTCGATGAGACAATTTGAATGGGCCAAGGCATTTCAAAGCGAAGAAAAATAACTTTGTAAAGGGAGTTTAGTGCTCCATTACCCACATAGCCTGATTAGTGAGAGCATTATTTTATGAGTCAGTCAAGCAGAAGCACTGATTTTTGAACTGAACAGGTGAGCAAACACTTACTTGACACCAGGTTTTTTTCTGCAGAGAGGAGCCAGGAGACCAGGTCTGCATGATGCTTTCTCTTCCAAATTCAATGCAACCCATTTTCTGTCTAGCACCAAATTTCATGCTGCATCGCTTTACATGTAACACTAAATATATAATTGGCTTGAGCCCAGCTCCTCCACCAAAGAGCAGAACAGGAGCCAATAGGACACTGGGAAAGCGGTGAAAACTGAGGATATTTGTATTTGTTTTTTAGATATTAATTTTTTTACAGGGTGAATTGTGGATATGTGTTTCCCTTCTTCTTGTTGAAAATCAGTGTTTCTCCATATTAGAGCAGTGTTCAATGCAGCCATTTTCCATAGGGTTACAGTTTGAGTAGCAAAATATGTAAACAATATCTGCTTAATTAGAAAATAAAAAAAAGGATTGTAAAATTGATGGGTTGAACATATGGGTTGTTAAAAAACAATTAAGACTGAAGTTTTAGAAGAGCTCTTAAACCCAAAAATTGGTCGTAACAAGAAAAGGGATATATTTAACTACTTAAATAGTCAGTAACATATTGGAAACGTATTTGAAATCACTGGTATCCTACATTTCAGAGATATCTAAAATGAAAAACAGGTTCTGGGGACTCCACTTTTCAGTCTTTTACCAAATTCTCCAGAGAAAATGAGAATAGGCAGGAGTTGAATAGTTTATAGGAAAAGCAGGGATCACATCCCTGTCTAAACATTTTCTGTGATTTTTAATTAAAGAGCTGTGCATATAGGTTTGGAACATATTTGAGATCTTTAGTGTTGTAGAGCATCTCTCACCCACTGTTTAAAAAAATGGGCTTTTACTTCTCAGAGTAAATGAGTATCAAACCCTAGAGTTTCTGTGCTCATCTTCTGTAGCAGTTGAAGTTATCAGGGAAGACAAAAGATTTTGAAGTGTTAAAAGTTGAATTTAACTGACCTAGAAGCAATTCAAGGCACTTAATGGAATTAAACCTAGTTGTTTGTTATTCTCAGAAACGGGAAAAGCTGCATTTTAAGGATTTATTCCACTATGGTTTTTTTCCGTTTGTCTGGGGTTGTTTTTTCTTTTATCCCAAATGTGTTTTTGAAAGCAAACACTGCTCAGTGCCTTCAAGTCCCGAGAAACAGATCATTAATGTCTACCCTCAAGAACTGAACTTAAAGATACCAAAAGCCTTTGAAGTGTATTTTCTTTGAGCTGTTTGGCCTTAAAATGAGCTTTTTGGAGGATGCTTCTTCATAACTCCTCCTGAGTTTTTGGGTTATTCCTTTGTAGCTGGTATTGAGTTTGCTAATTTGAAGTGATAGTAAAAATATCTCTGCATCTCATCACGTTCTTCAAGAAGTTAAACCCAGAATAGTGTTCAGGTTATTTTTTTTTATGTGTCCTACTAGACATATGCAGAGAGGGAAACAGAAGGCTGTATTGGCAATATGAAAATTTTCTGCAATCTAATCAATCTTAATATGCACCAGTGTTACCTGTTTTAATCATCACCCACTTGTGATACATTCTGTGCAAATAAATTCAAGAAAATATCAACATACCCTCCTCTCCAAAAAGGGAAAGTGCTTCCCAGTGCTGTGCTGCATACAAATGCACATCTCACAGTTGTATGTCTCTGCACCTCCCTGAGCTGTTCTGGCTCCTACCTGGGCACCATGTAGGGGTTTCTGGGCAGCAGAGAGACCAGAAGTTTTGTCTTTAAATGACTGGGGTACCCTGTGCCAGTGTTGGCAGTGCTCTTACTGGAGCTTGGGATGTGCTGGCTGACAGTTTAGGTGCTTAGGTGGGAACTGGAGCCTGTCCCATAGCTCGGCAGTGAGGAAGCCCAGAGAAGAACTTGAACCAGGTTGAGAATCCCTCTGTGCGTATCTGGGACTTGAATGTCCTGACAGCTGTTCCCAGTGATGTGGGAAATACAGACCTCCTATTTATGAGAACATATTTTAAATTATGTCCAGGAAACCCAAACATTACCATATGGGGTGTTTCATAGGTGTATGAAGTTAATAAATAAATATGCCTAATACATAAGTGGTATGATATGTAGGACTTCTAATACAGCCTCATTCCTCTTAAGTGGTTTCCATAGGTTGCATATTAACACTGTGGACTGCCATTCTGATAACCAAATGTGATACAAAGATTCTGTCGATATCTGTGATAATTTACAAGCCTCAGAGGGTGTATGTCAAAATTTTATCTTCCACATTTTGTCAAGTATTGTGGGATGCTCTCTTGACGTGTGATTGCAACCATTTTATTCGATAAGAATGTTTGGGCTGTTTTGTGTTTTTTTTCTTCCTGGAGCAGTTTTATAATGCAGATAAGGTGAACCCTCTGTCCTCATAATATGCTAATTAAGTGCATTTGTGTCTTGGGTAAAAGATGTGGCAGTATGGTGATGAATAAGAACTTTAAACACATATGACACCTCGTTAAAATGTAATTTTCACATCATAAATCTGAGGCCTTTCCTTTGACAGCTGAGTAATGTGGATAGTGGGCAGAGGATCTTGAATGTTTCAAAGCTGTCACGTGTTAATAGGTAGCTGAAAGCTGCTTCCTGCACTGCTCGCCTCTAACGCCCTGCATCCTTGCCCAGGAATGCATCGAAAGGACTGCGGAATCTTAAATCCCACTTGTGCACAGGATATGAATTGCCATCACTTCAAGATCCCACTGTGATAAGCCACACTTACCATCTCTGAAGTTGAATCTGAGCTGCTTTTTAAAAGGCCAGCTGAGCCTTTCTGATGAGCAGCTTCTCCTGGTGGACAAGGGCCATTTTTAG